GTAATATACAAACAAAATGTGCGAATGTGTTTGTTTTGGAATGAACATATTYGGTATCTCTTTTATTCTKTTTTATTTAACGTTGTCAGCATGTCCTGGGTTATAATGACCCTGGGTTTCCCAGGCCCAAACTCACTCGGAGCGGCTAGGAACGMCTTGCTACGCAGGTTCTAATGACATGTGTTTCATTGTTATGTGATGCGATGTACAGTAGCGATTGACAAGCGGTACCTGATTGGCGAGTTCGCGCGATATGCGACCAATACCATCAGAGAAGCAGTACTTATTATCATCAGACTTGACGTCATCTTCTGGAGACCAACTGACTCCCTGGTCAATGGCGATACCCACAGCATCTAATGACGTAGAGAAGCACTGACCCATGCGGGARACGTAAGTCCCGATGCATCTAAGTAGAGAAAAGAATTTCGGATCAAGCCGGAACATTGGAGATATCTTCCCTTTTCCACCCATTGTTGACAACAAGGACTGTACAATTAATATAAAGTTTGATGATCAAGGATCTCCTTAAAGAAACGGCAAAACAACATTATTTGGCCTAGAAAAAGAAAAACATTTCAGAAGGATTTTTTTACTGCACGTGAAAAAGTACGAGGACTACAACTGTCATCATAATTTGCTGCAACAGATGATGCCGTTGCACTTTGTCTATTGCACGCTGATTATAAGAATTGTACTCGTTCCGTTATTGGGTAAAAGTAGACATCTTCTCCATAAAATAACTAACCTTATGGATGAAAAGTCTCCCATCCAGGTACGWATTTCGTCGGGCTTTGCACAAGCCTTAACAAGCCAGAAGCTGTGGTTACGTAGTTGACTGTTTGAACAACCAAGAAACAAGTAMTGATCACCGCAAACTCCAATACCTCTGTCAATGATRCCCTTCAAATAAACAAGCACTTCTGTCAGRTCGGCACTCGATCCAGAGATCCTTGAGAAGTCTTCATCACGGATGTTCACGCACATGAAATGGGAAGGATCRAAGTTTCTCAGGACTCGGTTGTTTTGAATGATTTCTTCGGGACCAAATAGCAGCCGAGTTGGAGTGACAATGAGGCGTTTCACTAGAGCGCAGTGACTTGGTGTGTGTCTCGCCATGAATCGTTTAGGTCTCAAATTTGGTGACTGTARRATTCTTCCAAGTGTTTCATCTGGTTGGCAGAAAATATCYTGTGCWRCTTTGTTAGMGAGGTCCTCCAAACCAGCCAAAGCAGCATTTTTAGRRGTCTCACTGAGAAGACGARYGAAATTKTCTGAGATTCGTCCGACTAGGGAAGGATAGTTACATAGGAGGCAATGTAAAGCGTATGCGACCTCTTGKTCGAGTTCTTGATGAAGAAGCAAGTCTGAAGGATCTTTTAAGGGCATAAATACATCTGCAACTCCTGAAAAATAGACCTTCTTGTCTGTGTTCCTTAGGCTTGTCAATAGCTCAATGAAATCCACATCGGAGATAGTGATCATGTAGCTGAAACATTTTCCAAACGATGTTTCACTGTCATCAATGAATGGAACTCGAGACCAKCCTGTAATCTTGTCTAGGACGCCCAGTATTGGATGAGAAAATGTATTTTCATTCTCTCCAGTGCGAATGACATTGTCATCGTTTTGTAGGCGATTATCATAGCCCTCATCATCGCCTTCTTGCATGTCTTCATCACTTCCTTGGTCAAYCTCGTCATCACTGCTGTGGATCTCCTCGAAGAAACCCGAATCATCATTCTCGTTTTCATTATTATCGTTACCATCAACAACTACTTCATTTAGTAAATATGCTTCCCATATTGCTACCTTGTGTGTTTTATACAGCTTCGGTGGATGCTTCAGGAATAAAAAGAGGTTGGAATACCCATKCTGCTTGTCCACAAGTAGAAAGTTCTCCAACAAACTGTAGCTGATCTCGAYCTCATACAAGTTTGTTGACAGAGGCTCACGCACAGTGAACAAAATCAACAAAGACTTAAGATCGTGCTGGAAGACTAATCGAACAAATTGCAAATCCACTCTTGGATGTACGATCGGCCAGTGTCGGCAAAAATGATTCCTTCGACGAAAATATCCGATGCAGAATGATTCGCYTGATAGGACATTTACGACCTCAGCGGTTCTTCTTCTTCGGGTGTCATCCAGATGCTCCAGCCASGATAGKGCGACATTCTGTTGGTCACACCAAGACAGAGCGAGACGTTCTAGAAATTCCGAGTTTTCATTTTCACCACACTCAATTTTGAACTTTAWAGCAGTTGGTGTGTTGTCAGCTTCATTGACAGCTTCAATATTCATTTCTTTGATTTCAAATTGATTCTGTCTAAAGAATCTGACAGCGACCAAGTATTGTTGCATATCTTCGGCTGGGAGAACTACTAACACGCTAACAGTGTTAGTAGCAACAACGTCATATCGYTGCTGTAATGCTCTGTTGGCCTGGTTAATGGGMGTGGGCTSCTGTAGCAATACTGGTTTTTGGACTTGACATGAAAACTTCCTTGCCTGAGTGTCAATCCCTTGTGATGTGTTATGGAGAAGCCTCATGSCCTGTTCCATGTAACATTCCTTCACAGCAACCATTTGTTCATCATGGTAACTTTTTTCATCGCTAAAAATCAAGATGAACTTGCTATTAGCTCGCCGTGAGGCCCTTCCTCGTGACTGCACATGTGCTCTAAGGGATGTCAAACTATCAAAGCGAATGACCATGTTGCAAATTGGGACATCCAAGCCTTCTTCGAGAACRCTGGTTGAAATCAGAAGTTTTGTTCGACCTAGGCGGAATTGCTTCAGAGTAATCCTTTGCTCGTCTTGCCACTCCATKCCATCTGTTCCACCATCTCCATGACCCACAAAAGGCTTGGGATTTAGTTTGGAAATTTCAGGATAGGAAAGAAGAAGGTCGCAAAATTTGTGTGCTGTTTTTCGTGTTTGRACAAAAACGATCCCACGACTGGTGTCATCTTGGTCAGTCTGCCKGGAAAAGAGCTTCAATTCTTCTACAAGGTATGAAAACTTTTCATTGGTCTTACGAGATAAGCCATGCGCYTTGRTTGACTTGACTTGTTCTTTRAGTCTGCGAAATGTTGKTTTTGATTGAAGAATGGTTTTCTTTCGCCTTTCATTTGGTGAAGACTCGTTTTCGATAARCTCAAAGCATTCTTCCAAACACTCAATGGCAAGACGTAAACCCAGAACGTCATTGATCTCYAAAATACCAAGCAGATGCATGACCAGCTCACTTAGTGCATAGCCGTCATGTTCTTGYTGATCGTGACATTGGCCAATTATTTGTCTCAAACATCCTCTGTAACTAGTTGATTTTGGAGAAAGCTTCAGTATATCTGGGCACTTCCCATATGTGGCCAGCAGMCCCCCGATGAAGGCCAGGAAGTTCACTATAGCTTCATCTAGTTCYTGTTGGTATGATGTCAGAGGTATCATCTTGTAGGTTGTCTTAGGCTTATGAGTGTACATAAGGAGATCTTGCGACTTGCTAGGCATTCGTGCTGAAGAACAGAGTCTTGTTARAAGCCCTTGAAGGCTTTCARTAGTTTTCTGTGGACACGTTTCACCTGCAGGGGATGCTGTTAGGGCAAGTACTAGCGGTTTGAACTTATCTATTAGTTTAAYGTAGTGATCTTTCATAATCTGGTGATATGGGTGGTTCCCTTGACAACGATGGGCTTCATCGATTACAAGAATACACGTGTCAGACAGCTTCACCACGCCCTCTTCATCAGATAGAATGTTCAAAAAGATCTGATGTGTAAGCACAAGTACATCAGTCTTTTTTTCAATAAGATTATYCATGATTCTCGTCTTAACTGTCTCGTCTTCATTCCTATCTCCTGCTAACACCGAAACCTCCAAACCCTTAGTATGCTCCTTAATGTAGTCGGCTTGCTGATGAGCCAACGGAATTCGATCAACAATAAACACGGCAAGTTTTCTTGGGTTAAGCTTCTTCATGCAACTGATGGCCATTGCAGCAATTAAGGTTTTTCCTGATCCTGTAGGYAGAAAGACTAGGGAATTGCCTTGCATAGCATATGTGAAYAATTCACGTTGATAGTCTCGTGGGGTTTGAACTGTAAAGGAGTTGATGTCTTCTCTTGTAAGCTGACTGGTATCACAATAGACTAGTGGTGTTGAGGCTTCTCTGGAGCATGCGTGATTGTACGAYGCCAAACGTGTCAGTTTAACCCTTTCAATGCCGATTTTTTCTAACTCAGGTATAAGCTTCTTCATTTTTTTCTCGTGGGTTTCGCCACCAAACATATTCTTTACTGAGACCGCTTCAGCTTTCAGGCACATTACCTCGTTTCCTTCAATTTGTTCAACACTTCCAACTTTAGAATTACAATGTTGACACAGAAGACGAAATAAAGACCTTTTGGAGTCTGCTTCCAACACATCTTCTTTTCGTAAATATTGCACTGCTTTTAGCTCGCAGCCTCTTCTTACAGCCAAGTGATGCTGCGACGGAGGGACGATGCCAATCATCAGTATATCACTGGTTGCAAGCTGATGTTTGCATTTGTAACAGTATAAAGTCCATTGTGCGTAATTAGAGGCCATATTGATGAATTCAGCGATTACCTACCATTTACGATTGTTTACTGTTGCACCAGACAGACCTAAAAATATGCATG